TTGGTGTCGTCTAAAACAGGGAAGGCGGCCATGGGCTCGCCGGGAAAAGCTTTGTCGGCAGCGTCATGCCTCGGGAAGGATGTGTGGTAGATGGACGGCGCTCGGGGTGGCTCGCCGTGGCTAGTGGTGGGTTCCACGGTGGCTGCGGGCATCTGAGATGGCGGTGGTGGCTCGCCAAAGCCAGTGCGGCGGTGGCGAGAGGTGAAGGTGCCCTAACTAGCCTAAACTACCTAATCAACTACATGTGTGGGTGCGCGGGAGTGTGAGAAATGCTATGGGGGTGACGTTCAGGACAAGCCGAGCCCTACCGATAGCGAGCCGGCGGCCATGGCAGCTCGGTGGTGCACGGTGCACGCGGACCGAGCAACATAGAGGGGAGAGAAGGAAATAGCTATGCCATTAGATAGAGGAGGCTATGGAGAAACTCACCTGCTGCTCCAATTGGCTGGGGATGCAGCGAGAGGGGAAGAAGAGGGAGGAAGCTCCAATGGTGTCAGCGGAGACCGGATTGGGGAAAACCAACCTAGCACTCTACCAGAAGGGGAAAGAGGAAACAAAGGGGGAGATGGTGTGTTCCGGCTCACCGCGGAGCTCGGATCGGTGGTGGGTGAGGCAGAGGCTCACCGGCCAGCCCCTTTTATAGGCGGGCAAGGTCGGCGGTGGTGGGATATTTCCCTGCCCACCAGAGGATATTTTCCACCTCACGCGCGTGCTCGAGCTCGGTGGTGGTGAGCTAGATGCCTCCGCGTCCATTCGTACTCCGGCAAGGTCATCACTGTGCTTGGTCACGTTGGTGAGGTCTTCCCTTACCGGCTGCCATGCCGACATTGACGCACTGTGGGCGTTAAGAGAGAAGAGAAGGGGGGAGAGGGGAGATGGGATAGCTCAGGGTGTCGTCAACTCGATGACTATGCACCCGTTGTCCTTACCTCTGAGTTGGTCCATGGCATGGCTGGTACAGCGACGCAGGCGTGGTCGCGTAGGGGAGATGAAGGAGCTGATGGTCGAGTCCCACCTATTGGAGAGAGAGAGAGAGAGAGAGAGAGAGAGAGAGAGAGAGGTTGTGGGCTGCGGCTGTGGTACTGGGCCGCGGCCGGCCCATGCAGGAAGGGGAAGAAGGGGAGGGGGGAGTGGGCTGCATTGCGGGCCGAATGGAGAGGGGAAGGGAGAGGAGGCCCGCTGCCCCTTTTCTGTTTCCTTTCCTTTTCTATTTTCCTTCTTTTCCTATTTAGCTATTTTGAAATGGTTTGAATTCAAATTCAAATGCAGTTTGAATTTAGTGATGCCACCATAAGTTCAACAAGCAAACAAACACTCAACCAAACAAGGTTTCCTAATATTCTATTCCTATGTTGATTTATATTATTTTCTAGGTTAACTAGTTGTATGTGTGAGTTTCTATGCAAAGTTTAAAAAGTTCAAATTTTTAGTGATTTTTAAACTAAGTCAAATTTTAGGGTGTTACACCCACCCACACTTGAGCCCACTGGCGATCGATCCGCTAGAGATCATGAAGCACCCTTTTGGGTCATAGCGGAGGTTGAGAGCGAGCCACGGCCCATTGCCGTGAACGCACTCGTGATTCCCAGGTGGATGCGGCCGTCGGGTGCCGCTTCATGGGTGAGCTCATCAAAGGTTCTGGGTTCCAGGTTTCCATGGTAGAAAAGTTGGCCAGGACCAGTGGCGAAAGAGGATACTGGTCCTCCTGCGTGGATGTCCTCTGGGATGCGGCCGTCAAAGGCCGTTCTAGGAGTAAGTCAGTCACAGGCCACGGAGTCCAGGTCTCCGGGACAGAGAGCCTGGCTGGGGCCAAAGGTGAAGGGGAGTGCTAGTCCCCCTAGGTGAGAGAATTCTGGGATGCGGCCACTGGGGGTCGTTCTGAGAGTGTGTCCACCGCGGGCCGCGGAGTCCTTGTTTTCAGGTCAGAGGACCTGGCCAGGGCCAAGGGTGAAGGAGGGCGCTGGTCTCCCTAGGTGTGTGAGCTCCGGGATGCGGCCATTAGGGGCTGTTCTGAGAGCAAATTCGTCGAAGGCCGTAGCATCCAGGTCTCCTAGATAGAGTGCCTGGATGGGGCCGAAGGCATAAGTGGGCGTTGGCCCATTGACGCTGACAAACTCGGAGTTCCCAAGGCAAATGCGGCCGTTGGAGGCCGTTCCATGGGCGAGTCCGCCATAGGTGCAAGGAGCCATCGCTTCCTTTAAAACAAAGAGAGTGCGCGACTGCCCCCCTACCTGGCGCGTCAACTGTCGGTGTTTTGTCAACCAATGAGTGAATTTATACGTGTGTCACGCTGCTCTAGGAAGACGATGGTAGCATCCAAAGGCACGAGGAATTTATACTGGTTTAGGCCAGAGCCCTACGTCCAGTCTTAGAGAAAGATTGAGTGTGTGTTCCTCGTTTGAATGCTCTGGAGTTCTTACAAGGGGGTGTGTAAGCTAAAGAAAAGAGGTAGGAGGAATGAGGAGAACGAAGGCCTGGATGGAGTTTCCCAAGTCTGTCGTCCACCCCTTGGAATGGAGGCCTGGCTCCCCTTATATGGACTCCGGTGGCCAGATTACATGTGAGAGATGGGTTCTCCCGACCCGAGTGGTCGTGAGCCCGAGGGAGGGAGAAACTACTAATCTTGGTTGGCAAGGAACTTGGCAAACAAGGAGCTTGGCGGGTATGGCATCCTATCTTGTCTTGGCATCATCGTACGTCCAGGCATGGCCGTCATTGTGGTCTTGCTCTCCATGCCGTGGCGTGGCGCGACGTGATGCCATAGTGTCTGTCGTGATGTCATTGTTGGCGTGGTGGTGGTTGGCCAACTGTCCTGTGCATCGTGGCTCGTATCATCTTGTCCTGTCTTTCTAGTGGTGTCGTGGCGACAGTGAGGGAGCAGGTAGCCGCCCTCGAGCTATTGCCGCCTTTCTAGATTGTGGCGCCGTGGACCGCGACCACGATCTACGGGGTCGGGGCTCGTGGTGGCCTAGCTGGCCTCGCGAGGTCGAGGCCAGGATCGTGCGCCCCATCCTGTAGTGGGTGGGGACGTACGCCTGTCTTGTCGGGCTGACTTTGGATGGTGCAGTGCCGTACCAGACGTCACTACATCGCGGTGTTGTCTTGTCTGTGCAGGGTTGCATGGGGATGGCGTCCGCCCCGAGATCCCGCGTATCAAGGGATGGCAGTCCCCTCAGTCCTGGCGGAGTGAGTGGAGCGTGTCTGTCCCTGTTAGAGTAGGTGTACTTAGCGTCCGACCTCTCCTCATCCCTTCCCGGGGGTCGAGACAGAAGGGAGGTCGGGCGAGGCTACGAAGCGTGCAGCGAAAGGAGAGGGGAGAGGTCGTGGTGGACCGCTCCTGCTGGTGTGTGGCCTAAGGCCCATGAGGCGTAATTGGGCTTCGGCTATGTAGTTTCTGTTGGTTGAGCCGCCTGAGCAGCTAGCCTATCGGTGTCTTGAGATACCTGGAGTATCATGATCCTGAAACCTCCGTTGACAGCGCGCAGATCAACGGCCACCGGATCAAGTGCGAGAAGCGCCAGGAACACCCGAGTGTGATAAAGATTTACTGTATTGGGGAAACAAGTAAGAATAGTCCCCATAGGGTAGCCTTGACCACTTGCCGCGGATCATAACACACATATATGCACAATTATCCAAAACATGGAATTTTACAAAATACATGAGTAGCGGTCAAAAGGAAAAACTATAAGTTTCTTATATACATTGGATGATTGCATATGAACACATGTCATGGGCTCTATTCAGCTGATCGTAAAGCCGCTTTGTGCTGATTTGTACGACTGATTTATTGGGAGAGAAAATACTGTACCATAGCTTATAAGCCGGCTTATAATGGCAACTGAACACTCTCATGAATTCACAACATGTGGCCACAACTATCCAGTGGAGACAATCCCCGTTGAATTCACCCCTATATTGCACTCTTTTTTTTAGAAAACGATATACAGAGTTAAGGATCCCACAAGCTAGAGTTATATTCTATTTTATAATATTTGAATGTTAGAATTATATTGTTTCCTGACGATTAATATAGTTTTTGAGTCTAATATAGTCGGTGCTGCAATTACTTTCCCTCCAAATGGCCAAATCTCATAAATGCTTCCCTGACCTTTTAATGCAAAATGGTTTAGCCAGCTTCTTACGTCCTGATCGTTTATGCTTGTTTGGCTTATAAGCCATAACTAAAAGTGTTATTAGCTAATTTGGTATGAGAGAAAAATATTATTTATTGACTGATAAACCATGGCTTATAAGCCGAATACGACCAAGCGAACAGGCTTTTGCCCATCGGACCCGGAAGAAAAAAATGAGAGAGAAAGAAACAGAATTTTTTATGTAAATCCTTTCTGCGACTTCTGCCCCATCAGCAAGTGTGCATACGGCAACGAAATCCTCGTCTCATCGAGTGCATATCTCGCTGAAATGCATCGATATTTAGCTGGGACACGATTGCCCATCGAAGTCAAATACGAGACGGACTTAATTAGCACTGTCTTAGGTCTTACTCCCTGCATACTTAAAAATAAAATCGTTTTGACAAGCATTGAGTTAAACATTAGGAATATAAATCATGAATAACTTTTAAATTATTGAGTTTGAAAATATAAAAACCATATTTATAAATTTATCTTGAAAAATACTTTCACAAAAATTTATATATATATTTTTTAATAAATATTTATAAAAGTTATACTTCAAAAACCGTATCGCTGTCAAAATGATTTTCATTTTTTTTTAGTTCGGAGGGAGTATCATTGACGTAAACACAATTTGTGGATCGTTTGCTTGTTCCATTCGTCTCATCGTGTTCGGTCTTCCTTCCTTGAGAAGCCACCGAGCCATTCCGGAACGAAGCCCAACCGCCGGGGCTCATCCGCCGTCTGGGCCCCACCCGACCGAGACCCCCCGGAGAGAAGGCTTTGAATGCACTGCGACGCTTGGACTCGGAGTCGGGAGTCTCCGTCCACCGCTCCACTACCACTGTACCACGAGAGCTCATGGCGGTCGGGGTAGCCTCACCGGCGGTAGGGCACGACTCGGCGGCGAACGGCGGCGGATCGAGGGAGGAGGGAGCGGCGCCGGCAGAGGAAGGGGCGCTGGGAATGCGGGTAGATGGGAACAGGGTGGCGGCGCCAGTGGATGGGGCACCGGCGGCGGCGGAGATCGCCGTGGAAGGGGATGAGGCGGAGGAGGAAGCGGACGAGGAGGAGGAGGAGGAGAAGTGGCTAGGACAATACTCCTCTACGCAGAGCATACCGCTCGTCGGCGACGGGAACTTCTCGTTCTCGCTGGCGCTGGCCACAGGGTTTGGCTCCGGGGCCAACCTCGTCGCCACGTCGCTCGACACCTACGGTTCGTCCGCTTTCGCTCTTCCGTGCCTCGTAAAGGTGATTGCTGGGCATTAGTGGTAATTAGGCGATGCCCTTTTCGGCCCTTTGTGCATTGGATACGGAAACACATGGGGCTGATTCGACGATTCGGATGTGGCATTGGTTATACGTGTATTTGATGCATTTGCTCCATTGAGATCAAGGTTAACCTGAAATGGACTTCTTGCTATTGGGAAAGATTTTTAAATTAATTTTTAAAAAATCTTTAGTTAACTTCTCTAATCAGTGATGGTGCTCCAGACTTCTGCGTCATACATTGTTTCATACTACTACTACGTACTCCAGCCATTGCGAATGTAGGTTGTTTAATTGTTTTAGTTTGTCCTAAGTCAAACTTCCCTAACTTTGACCTTTTTTCTAGTTTATAGAAAAATACACCAATATCTACACCATCAAATTAGTTTAATTAAATCCACCATGAAATAGGTCTTGATGGTGCATTTATTTGATATAGATGTTAATATCTTTTTCTATACACTTGAGCAAAATAAAGAAGTTTGATTTAGGACAAAACTAAGACCTACATTTTGGAATGGAGAAGCAGTATAAGTATTTACGAATATACCTATTGAGCTAGAACTCTTGCTACTTTCTTTGTTTTTCTGCCTTTCACATTTCACATAGTTGGAGTTTCAATGTTGTCAAGTGGTCGAGTACAATGTGTGTTTATGAGACATGTTGGTTGTGCAGTTGAAAAGGTCTAGTTTTGTTACTTCGTTTTATCCTGACCCCTTCCTATGATCAGATGTTTGAAACACCTTGCCTGTTGTTTGCACATTGCTATTGCACCTCCAACACAATGTATCAGCGACTTCTCTTCATCAAGGTTAACAATAGCACAACGTGAGCAAATCAATTGTTTTATGACCAGATTGGAAAGAAAAGTAAAGAAAAATAGCTACCTAGAACAATACCAATGTGCCTAGAAATCCCCTGCGCATGCACCACGCACCCACCTGCACCTATAATCTTATATCAGGTTACCTAATAAAATTGTCCCAGAAAATTTGTATGTACTACCTGAATTTCCTGTTTGCTTGAGTCTAGTTTTGGCTCAAGACACATGTAGGACTGAGCTGACTCACCTACCTAATCTTAAGGGGATAGTTTGTGTGATATTTTTTATCCTTTTTTAGTTGTACTTATCTATCGCCTCTCTATATCTCGTGGGCAATTTTACAGAGGCTCTGCGCAAGAAATTCAGCAAAGCCGAGTCTAATATAACGGGCCTGAAAACTTTGGGGGCTACTGTTTTGCATGGCATTGACGTGAAGACAATGAAGTTGCACACTGACCTGAAAAACAGACGGTTTGATCGGATTGTCTTTAACTTTCCTCATGCTGGCTTCAAAGGAAAAGAGTGTGAGGTGTACATGATCAAGTATGTGCGCTATCTTGTTGTTTTCTCTTTTGCAGTTAACTATTTTTTAAATCCTGTGTTCATAAACTCATTGTTGTTGCTCGTGTGGATTAGTTTTGTCATGATTTTTGGAGTTGATTAGTATTCCTTTGATTATATCTTTATATGAAGAGTTATGCTTTTTTCGTTTAGTACACCTATAGCCTCAACTGACATTGGATAGAAGATAGAACCTCAATCAAATTGTTCCAGTTTCAAATTCCATCTTAACCACCACTTGTCATTGCTAAAAAACTTGTTCTTAGATGAACTTCAAGTTCTTAAGATTGCAATAAGAATATAAAACATCTTACATATGCCTTCAAAAATAAGTTGCAGATATCATATTTCACTTCTATGGTTCATAAGCAAGAGAATGTTTATATACTTTAAATCTTCCAAGAATAAGCTGAGAACAAACATTGTTGGTTTCATGAACTGTTGCATTGCACATGGGATTTATTTGCAGCACTTCATGGGTTTTATTTCCTTCTCAATGTACACTACAGAAAATTGTACTTGTAATCTGTCAATAGAAGTTTCTACACATGATTAATGAAAAAAGATGGACAAGTCTATCCAGATGGTTTATTTTGTTATGACAGTTGCTTTTAGAATACAACAAGAACCTATCCAAAATTTACCGTCTCTTCATTTAGCAGCTTTATGTTCCTTATCTGAATTCTTTTTTTTTCGAATAATACATCTAAATTCTTATTGACCAGTTGCTATGACCTTTTAGCTTGCACAAGGAACTGGTGAGGGAATTTTTCCGCAATGCACGCCACCTACTTCGGCCTTATGGTGAAATCCATGTTAGTCACAAGACAGGAAAGTGTTACGACGAATGGGGTCTTGAGGATCTAGCGGCTGAGTTTTCGCTTATTTTGGTTGAGAAAGTTGGTTTCCAAATGGAAGACTATCCCGGTTATCGCCAGAAGAAAGGAGATGGTCCAGCCTGTGACAAACCTTTCCCGCTAGGTAACTCTTTCACATTCAAGTTCAAAATTGGAGACTTGAAGAAGCGGAAGAAACGGAATGGGAGAAGGGCTGGAGCAATCTCATCCGTTGGAGGCGACACAAGGCCATGCCATCCTCTTCCACTTTTTCAGCCAAGGTCTGGGCTACAGTTTGTTCCACGAGCTTACACAGCTCCGGTGCCCATGACTCTGCCATCTCATGTAGTTGATCAAAGGCAACAGCCAGGTATGCCACTAAGCTTCGTTGGCATACCGAGGGCTCCTTATTTTCATCAACCGGGCACTGCCCGTTCACTGCTCAGCACTCCAGGGTCATCGCTGATGAATGCTTTGGGCACTCCAGGTCGCATTCCTTCACCAATGGGCAGAATCTCAAGCCCCAGCTTGCTTGCTCCTCAGCGGCATCCACGGTATGAAAGGAGAATCATTGCTGAACCGCTAGGAAACAACACTGACTACTTTGCCTGCGAATACCGAAGGAGTTTGGTCAGGGAGTACGGGATGCAGATGCAACTAATGCCCGAGGGAACCAGCTTGAACTATTATGCCTTCTTGGAAGCCCGCCAATGGGAGTCTCTTCAGAGACAGGATCGGCTCCGCAGGATGATCGCATACGGTTCCCAGTGGGACGTCGTCCAGACTCCATAGTTTGGTGATGCATCTGTCCCCGCATTGAGGGTTTGTCGGCGGTCGAGTAGAGGAACTTGGGTCTTCCCAGATACGACCACTTTTGTGTGGCCCTTTTGTGTATAGTTAGGGCCCTTTTGTGTGGCAAACACTGCCACATCAGCGAAAGGAACGCTGAGCCAAGTCGCTGCGAGAAGATGTAATCCTGGACAGCTAGCCTGTTTTTGCTGTATGGAGCTGCCTGTAGGAGCACATATTATGGGGCGTTTGGACGCAGCGACTAAAATTTAGAAGGTGATTGGACGTGAGGGATCGTATAAGATGTTTGGATACTAATAAAAAATAAATTACATAATTAGTAGTATTTTACTAGACGAATTTATTAAAGAGTAATTAATCTATTATTAATATATATATACTGTAGCATTATATTGTCAAATTATGGATTAATTAGTTTAAAAGATTAGTCTCGTAAATTAGTTATAAACTATATAATTAGTTTTATAATTAATCTATATTTAATATTCCATGTATCTAAATATTGGAGAGCGACTAAAGTTTATGAGGAAGCAACTAAACACCCTTTAGCTGCAGCAAGTAGCAACCTCACTTTAGGCCTTCAGCGAGTACTATAATACTTTGTACGGGGTTACTGAAAAATACGGAGTACTGTACTGTAGCTACTATTGTTGAGTGAATGAAGTACCAATTACTATTAGCAGTTGCAGTTGTTGACGCAAAGCAGTTACAACACAGTTAACAGTATAGCTACAGTACTTTGTCCTAGACATACTATTGTTGACTGAAGGAGTAGTAGTACCAGTTAACAGTTGACGCAAAGGTCACCCTGCCATGGAACCTGACAAACGTGACCGACACCTTGATTGGACAATAGCCATACCAGGGTGCAGCGTGCAGGAAGCCAGGAATGCACGCCGTTTCTGGCAGACTGCACATCACATATGGATCTTGTTTAGATTGATGTTAGGAATTAGTATTTGGTATGATATTATTTTTGTTTGTATTTAACAATTATTATCCAATTATGACCTAACTAGGCTTAAAAGATTCGTCTCGTAATTTACAATCAAACTATATAATTAGTTATTTTTTATCTATATTTAATACTCTATGTATATGTCAAAGATTTAATGTGATGAAGAGAGAGTGAAAAAACTTGTAATCTAAACAAGGCCCTGATATCCATGACCATATCCCATTGTGAATCAAGTACAGAGTACATCGCAACAGGAACGCGAGTTTCCATCGCCCATGTCATTTGCCAGGGTGAGTGCAGGTTCGATGAGGTTTTACAGTTTTCAAAACAATAGTGCAGGAGTACTACTTCACTTTTTTTTATATAAAAAAACAACAGTCGCTCATGGAAGTTTGCAGTACAAATGCCATTGACGAGGCACCTTAAGACTGGCTGGAGAGGGTGCGAGTTGGGATGACATTTGATAGTTTTTCAATTTTAACAATCTCTCTCTCCCTCTCAAAATACTTTTGAATAAATAAGCAATTTAGTTTGAAAATATCTTGACTCTCTTTTGAAAATTTCACAACATGATATACAATTTATACAAAATGATTTTTGTAGTAGGATAGGGCATGCACAAATTAAACATGCACCTCGCATGCAACTCTACCGCATAAGGGGACATTTACGTGATTACATCCGTATTGCTACTATAAAACAACTATAGTCTAGATGACTATTATCACATATTACCTGCTAAGAGGTAATAGGAGAAATATACACTTATATTTTTTCTTGAAGATAAGAAAAACATTATACAAGATAGCTATCAATTAGATCTAATATGCATTGCAATTGTCAAGCGTGTGTTTGTGCTGAGTTTTCGGCCTGTGTGGCTCGGGTTGATGTCTCATTCCGACTGGCCAGAGTTGTTGTTTTTTCGTATTCTCTTGAGCTTGAGTTCGGTGCGTGTTGATGGCCCAATCCAACCGATCGGAGTTATACCGTTTTTTATTTGCCCTAGTCTGGGCTTTATCTGCTTTTTAATATAATCGGCAACTCTCCTGTCTGATTCGTTTTAAAAAATGCATTTCAACTAGAAACCTACCCGACAAAGATCAATCTATTTTAGGCCTTGAGATTTCCTATCTTTTCCTTTTTTTAAATACTTTAATTGTTTACTTACTGGCCGTGTGTATTCCAAAAATTAAGGCCTAAAATTTGTTTGACATCTTACCTCTTATTATGGAGCAATGGGAGTACCGTAGCAAAGTCCTCTAGCTATGTTGTTGTCCATGTTTTTGACCACCGACGAGTAAATTTGTATTTACGCGTCTGACTCGGATGGTGTGCTCGGAGGACACAATGGTTTATACTGGTTCGGGCGAAATGTCCCTACGTCCAGTAAGTTGCTGCTCGTGTTACCGGCACTTGGTTTGCAGTAGGGGTTACAAACATGCGAGAGAGGGAAATGATCCAAGTCTCTGGTGGAAGGAGTGATCGGGTGCTGAGAGCTCGATTGCTGCTCAGCCGTGTGCTCATGTCGTGCTTGTGTGTTTTTATCTCGTGGTCCGTCCCCCTTCATGGGGCACCATGCTTTCTCTTTTATAGGCGAAGGGAAAGCACGTGTTACAGCGGAGGAAAAGGAGAAGAACAAGAGAGAGAGAGGAAGGCTTCCAGGATCACCGGGTCCTTCTTCTCCTTCGTGCGGGTCCCGCCGAGCCTGTAGATGTCAACAGGGACGTCTCCACGTCGTGGCCCTGTTCGTCACTGGCACCATGCGCAGGCGTCATCTACCGGTCATGGCGTTCTATTCTATCCTGACGGACGTCGTGGTGAACTGACACGCCTGTCAGCGTTCGTACAAGGGTTAGGCAGAACAACACCAGCTCATCCGACACGGTTCTTGATGTGAATCCTCAGATATGGTCTATCGTGGCCACGAGTTACATCGTGGCGTGCCAGTCTCTTCCCTGGTGTCAGAGTTTTGACCTAGGCCCATACGCTTGGACCTGGAGTGGTTGGCGGCGGTATGGGTCCCCGTCAGACGAGACAGAACCCGCGTCCTTGGGGTCGGGCGAGACAGAGCACGAACCTGAGGGGTCAGGCGAGATGGAGCACGAACCTGAGGGGTCGGGTGAGACGAAGCACTGAAAGGACCTAGGATGCTGCCTAGAGGGGGGGTGAATAGGCGTTTCTGAAAATTAACACCTTTAAATGCGAAAACGATTAGTAAAGGGAGTTCCAAAATGGAAACTCCAAATAAAGAGTAGTACCACCCATCACAAGTTAGTCACAGAGTATACAAGGTATAAAGAATGTATCTAGAAGCTACAACCCTGCAACACAAAGTTAGAACTGAAAATAAATATTTTCAGCACAGAGCTCTAATACCGGACGTGTCCGGTATACACGGTTTCTGCAGATCAGCCCCGAACTTGCTCCTTTTGATTTCTATCTTCGAACCAAACTACAGGCACTTACTAGAGATGACAATATACACAGAGAACCTGCACAAAAGCTAGAGCAACACAAATATCAAATGAAATGCGAATTGAGACACGATATTTGTTTTACCGAAGTTCGGACTCGTTCGAGTCCTACTCTCCGTTGAGGGGGCTGCGGGCGACCCAGCGAAGGTCAGCCCTAGAGGGTACCACGAAGGTCACTCTAGCCGGAGTCTTTTCCAACTCCTTTTCCTCCTTCCACTAAATGATTTCGAGGCGGCGGAATCGACCGTTACAAACTTTCCGAGGCACACCACAATCTCTCGGGTGCTCTCCGGCGACGCCTAACCGTCTAGGACCGAAGAGTCCAAGAGTAACAAATGCGAATCATGAGATTGATAATATGCACAAGCGCTCAAGTGGTGGCTTGCTCTCTTTTTCAAATTCTCTCTTAACCCACAAATTGATTTTGCAATTTGGATCACACACTCACTAAGAGAGGGTTTAGGAGACTTGGCAAGGCTCAAAAACGTGTGTGTATATCAGCAGAATCAGCAGCCTCCAAAGGTGGAGGCTTGGGGGTATTTATAGCCCCCTTGAAAAACTAGCTGTTTTATAGCCGTTGCAATACCGGACATGTCCGGTATGACTTACACTGCCCCAACGGTAACTAAGTTACAGTGAAGTTGTGAGGCGTCGGAACTCCCGATGAATGCTGGAACTCCCGACCGCCGGAACTCCCGATCCTCAGCAAATTTGAAAACCATGTAACTGAGTTAAAGAATATGAGGTGTCGGAACTCCCGACGCATGCCGGAACTCCTGACTTACGTCGGAACTCCCGACTTACGTCGGAACTCCCGACCCTCAAGGCTTTGGAAAACCAGCCGTTGGCCTCTGGTCATCCATACCGGACACGTCCGGTATGAATACCGGACACATCCGGTATGACTAGGACAGTGAACCCTCCAAGACAGTTAAAGTGGAGACGTCGAAACTCCCGACCCTTGTCGGAACTCCCGACCGTCGGAACTCCCGACCTACGTCGGAACTCCCGTCGAACCAACCCGAGAACAACACTTTTACAGTTACTGGGCAAATACCGGACACGTCCGGTATGGCCAGACCAGCAACAAGTTAGCTCTTTTGTCGCTCAAATACTCAAAACTCACTTGGGTTGGCTTGAGCACTTATGAAACATTATCTATCAACATGATGCATCCCTATTAATAGTACGGCATTCCTATTTACTCAAGTTTAAAAGTATAACGAATTTAAACCTTTTGAGTTGCTCTTTTTGAACCAAAGCCGTGTATTCCAATCTTCATCAAGTGAGGGCGCCAACATGTTGATATTGATCTTTTTCACTAGAGCATAGCCATCTTGAGCACGTGACTTGATTCCATTCATCAAATTTGAATAATCCCAAATGTATCAAGTCACTTCTATCAAACACTCCAATAGTGATTTGATCCTTCACATCAATATGACCATCGTAGCTTGATTAGTACCTCAACTAAATGCAAGTACTTTCTTCTTCACCCTAGCTAGGTTCTTCGGCCGCCAAGCCATCGCTTGCCCTTCACCCTTGCTTAG